TCCTTAGCTCATTGAAGTCCGCCCTCCTGAAATCTAAGGCTGCGGCCTTGCTGCAGGCCTTTACCACTTTGCACTGGATGGTGAATTCCAGCAGGTGATGATCATCGTCACCCAGGTGGTTGAACACCTGCAGCCCCCTCACAGCTGTGGCTAGCACCAGGTCCAACAAGGTGTCTCCCCTGGTGGGGCTGTGCACCTCCTAGGTTAGATGGACGTCCTGCATTTGGGCCTGGAACCTACGTGAGCAGTCAGATCTGGCTGACTGCTCTTCACAGCAGATGCCTGTAAAGCTCAGGTCACCCATGATGACCACATCCTTTGACCTAACTACCTCCGTGAGCTGACTTAAGAATTCCTACTCTAGCTCTTCCCCTTGGTTGGGTGGTCTGTAGCAGACCTCCACTGTTAAGTCTCTTTCCCCTCGACTGCTTTGTATTCTAACCCAGAGAACTTCTGTGTACCCCTCCTCTAATTCTGTGCTACCTGAGGATGTGTATTCCTCCTTAATGTAGAGCGCCACACCCCCGCCTTTCCTCCCTCTGTCCCTCCTGTACAGCCTATAGCCCTTGATATTCAACGCCCAGTCATGCGTTGGGTCCCACCATGTTTCAGTGAGCCCCACTATGTCTGGGTTGGTGTGAGCTAGCAGGAGGGTAAGTTCCTCCTACTTGTTTCCCATATTACAAGCTGACCTCCTGAAATCCCTTCCAACCCTAATTTTTTGTGATTCTTCCTGCCTTTGCCTGAGGGGACAGTGGAATGACCTGTGGTACAGCAAGGAGGCACCCATATGGTGTGTAGATAAGGGGGCAGTAGCTCAAGTTGGTTCAGTTTGCATAATGTGTGGCCCTTGGCCATTTAGAAATTGAACAGCTCTGCTTTAAATTTTAAAAAGTATCAAAATATTTTACTCAGCAGTTTACCATACAGTTTTATTGTAATTGATAACATAACATTCATGACATGCCTGATAAAATAGTGATACCCACTATCAGTACGATTTTGCTCAGTTGTCCACTGTAGCTTTAAGCAAGTTGATAACCAACCAACAAAATAGGCATCTTCTTGATTCTTTTTGTAATGTCTAAAACAACATCCCAGCAACAGACAAGTTAACAATAGGGTACAGCAGGGGCAGGCAATTATTTCAGGGGGGAGGGCTGCTTACTGAGTTAAGGCAAGCTGTCGAGGGCTGCAATGGTAGCCCCACCCCTTGACACATGCCCATGCCCCTGGTCACCATCTTGTGACCAGAAATCCTGGCACTTTAACCCTGATCTTTGCTACCAGAAGTCCCTCTCCTTTAAGCAAGGGGTTTTTGCCATCTCAAAACCAGAAAAATACCAAATTCTATTCTAAAATGCAAAGAGCTACAACATTCATTCATTTGATTGCAAAAACTATTTTTGTCCTGATCGTACACTACACACAGGTTATAGAGGTGATTGCACAATAGCTTAAAATGAAGTCTTACTCTTCTATGTTGGGGGGGGGTGGGTATAGGTTTGTGGGGGGCTGTGGGTGTGTGTCTGTGGCATGAGAGAGCATGAGAGTGTGGGTGGGTATGGCATTTGTGGGGGGCTGTGTGTGCAGGGGAGGGTGGCTGGGGTGTGAGAGGGGTTGTGGGGGGTCTGTGTATATGGCAGTGCAAGGGTGTGTGGGTACATGTGTATAGTGGGGTGTGCATGTAGGACTCAGGTTATCAACACACACACACTCTGCCCCTGCCTACACACACACACACACACACAC